CAGTCCCCCAAGTGAGCAATGCCTTAGCAACAGCTCAGTAGCTGATTCAGGTCATGGAGCTGGCATGGTGGGGATGGGGGCACATGGGAAATGCATAGGTGTAGAATTCTAAAATACTAGATGAGCTTCCTCTCCCTGGGAAACAAAATCATACTCAGCCTGAGTGTCAGAGTTGCTGGAACTGTAGGTCCTTTTTACAGACATATTTACATACCCCTCCAGGAGCCCTCCTGCGCTCCCCCAAGCAGTTTACCTTGAGCTGAAAATGACAAAGCAGAGGAGGTCTCAGGTACAGGACCGCTCGTTGGGGTTGAGGGGTGGGAGGCAGACCTGTTCACAGTGGAACCATAAGAGGTTATGACTTTCTTTGTAGTCACCAGGAGGCTGGGCTAGGCTACCAATCTGCATGCATGCCTACCCCCACATCTCTGACCCAGCGCTATGGCAATACTACAGCACCTTTCCTGAAGGATTATCAAAGCATAGCAGGCAGGATTCAGCTCATTATGGCTTTATCTTTAGAAAGCACATTAGGACAGCATTGTCACCATCCCCCATCTGGGGATACTGATGCCAGCTTAAATCATTGTTCTAAGCTCTCTGTAGCTGAGGGGAAGTCAGGTCACGTCTTTTAACTCTGTGTTGCTCTGTCTGGCACGAGGTTGGCCCAGTCTTCAACTTTAAGACAAACTGGAAACTGGCTGCTCAGCTCTGGGCAAAACTGAACTGACGAGTGGCAGAATTTTAGAGCAGAAAGTAGGATACGCAATCTGTATTTACGGTGGCTTCATTTAGTTCTCACACAGAAGTATTATTATAATACTGGTTGGCAGATGCAGGATCGGAGACTGGGAAAGCATCAGCCAACTGTTAGGGTGGGGCTGGGGGGTGACTGGTCAGTAAAGGAGCCGAGATTCCCACTTGGGATCCTGACTCTCAGTGTACTGTCAGGAGCGCATCACCACGCCGCTTCCCCAGGGGTCTACCTGCGGCTGCCCGTTTCTGAGGCGCCAGGCACCGCCAGGGCTGCAACTCTCACCTGCGGGGCACCGCCAGCCAGCGCCGCTCCATCACCCAGTGACTGGCAGACGCCCAGGCTCCCCGCCTGGCGCTGCGGCGCCTCTCCTGTCTTTGTCTGGAGAGCGCTGGAGAACCCGAGAACCGGGCGGAGGGGAGCGGGGCCGGGGGCGGGGCTTCAATATTCATGTCATTTTTAAACAAACGATTTCCTAATTTGTGTCTGTTTCGTGCCAGCGTGAAACGTCCGTAGGCCGAGCCGGCTGCGCTGCGAGCGCTTCCTTCTGCCAATCCCCACCCACGGCGCCCGCGGCCTCCCCACCCATCCTTCTCGGAGCGGAGAGAGCAGCCGCGCAGACGGAGCAGCCAGGGCCGCGGGCGGGAGGCTTTTCCCGCAGCTCCGGGCTGGCCTGGCAGAATGTGGAGATTTTTTCATTCATGAAACTAGCATCCCTGCTCGCTGCTTTCCCGCTCGCCCCACACAGCCCCACCCGCGGCAGGGTAGGCCTGGGTCCCAGGGATCGGTTCCGAGGGCCAGCGGACCTAAAGCGGCTCGTTTTCGCGTTTCGCCAGGAAGTCCCATTTTATAAATCCCGTGCCGCGTCCTCTCTCTGTATAGACGACAGACGTCGATCGCTAAGGAGCACTGTTGATTGAAAGGAAGAGACAAAATGGCTTGCGGTTCAATCCATAAATAAAACCTCACCCTTTGACTTCAGGCTGTCCGACATTTTGTGACTTGCATTTTTTGTCCCATCAGAGATTTAGGAAGTGACTGTCAACCGTGTTACCTACCCATGTGTAAACAACTGGCTTTTTCGGTCCCTGTTTTTACCCTTATATGGTGGTGGGTGGGAGCACCGGAGTGGGCAGGGGAGATGATGGCAGGGGCGGGGCTGGGCAGGGCGTTGCACTAATAAAAGATGCAATCTGCATCCAAATAATAGATTGTTATTAACAATGATCCTCTCTGTGAAACCCTTCAAATTGCCCCTTGACTCCCCTAGCAGCAAGAGGCGAGCCCTCATTCGCCGAGCTGACTGCTCCTTGCTCCTCCTTCCCTCCTCCCCACCACTACTCTCTGCTCTGGAAATTACAACTCCTCGGCGCGCGGCGCCGGGAGGAGGCGGCGACGGGAGGGAGGCGGGAGGGGATTCCCGAGCCAGCCGGGCGCTCGCCCTCCGCCCGCCGGCTGCAGCGTCGCGCGGCCAAGGTCAGAGGCTCCGCAGGAGCAGCAGCTGAGAATCAGAACAGCGGGTCAACCCTGGCCGCGAGGAGAAAGCCCCAGGGCGCATTGGGCCCGCGTTAGCAGCCGAGGGAGAGGGAGCCGAGCGAAGGTCTCTGGGCCGGCGGGGCCCGCCGAGTAGTCGCAGTGACCGGGCAGGTGGCGCCCCTCTGTCCGCGCGCGAGGAGCTGGGGCTCCACCTTCGGCTCCTGGGCGCTGTCCGTCTCCTCGTGGTGCTGAACCCAGCCCCACGGCCAAGCGGCCTGCTCACCCGCCTTCTCACCTACAGATCGCCCCAACTGGGGGCGGGGCAAGGGCAAAAGAGGCCCGTGGGCAGCTGCCCACTGGAGCCGAGGGGCTGAAAGAGGAGAGCTAGCGAACCGCAGCCCGGCAGCTGGTCCTGATGTGGAGAGGAGACGCGCGCGGCCGCCGCCGGCGGCGCTAGTGCTGATTCATCACCTAGAGCGTCTCGCAGGCCACCGCGAGGGCAGGATTCCGGCCCCGGACTCTGGTAGCAGGTTGAAGCCGCTGGTGCAGGAGCCTCGCGGGAAGGAGGTGAGGATCCCCTCTCTTCTCTTGCCCCCAGTCGTCTTAGGGCGGTGGCCCCAGGACAGAGAAAGGGGCGTGCCCCCGGGCTGTAAAGTAGTCATGCTCCTGTGATGCCCCCGCCTCCCATCTTACTGGTGCTAACCACACTTGTTCTCCTCTGCCTGTCTCCGGAGCTTGGGCCATTCCACCCTCCGCCCTGAGCAGCTGGCCCTGCCCGCGCAGCGATGGAGGAGGAGCTGAAGTGCCCCGTGTGCGGTTCCCTGTTTCGGGAGCCCATCATCTTGCCCTGTTCCCACAACGTCTGCCTGCCTTGCGCTCGTACCATCGCGGTGCAGACCCCGGACAGTGAGCAGCACCTTCCTCAGCCGCTCCTGCACTCCCGGGGCTCGGGGCTGGCCGCAGGCGCCGCCGCCGCG